TTCTCATTAAATTAAGGAACAGGGATGACTGTACTTATTTTTTAACACTGTTCTGAAAGTCTTAGCCAATGCAGTATGAAAAGAGAACAGGGGTGCCTGGGTGGCTGAGTTGGTTGAGTGTCTGACTCCTGATCTCAGCTCAGGTCTTGATCTCAGGGTTGTGAGCTCCAAACCCATGTTGGGCTCCACAATGGGTATGGAGCCTACTTAAAAAAAAAAGAGAGAGAGAGAGAGAAGAAAGAGGCACATGTATCAAAAAGAAAGAGAAATGGGGTGCCTGGGCTCAGTCATTAAGCATCTGCCTTCGGCTCAGGTCGTGATCCTAGGGTCCTGGGATCAAGCCCCTCATCAGGGAGCCTGCTTCTCCCTCTCCCACTCCCCCTGCTTGTGTTCTCTCTCTCGCTGTCTCTCTCTGTCAAATAAATAAATAAAATCTTCAAAAACAAAAAAACAAAGTGAATTCATGAAAATGATCAGATGATATGGTTGTAGGCCTGAAAAAAAAAATCACCTGAAGCCACTCCCCAAAAAGTAAAGAGAATCCAGTAAAATTAAGAGGTTTAAGAAAACAAAACAAAACAAAAAAAACACAAAAAGGGGCACCTGGGTGGCTCAGTTGGTTAAGTGTCTACCTTTGGCTTGAGTCATGATCTTAGGGTCCTGGGATCGAGCCTCACATTGGGCTCCTTGCTCAGCAGGGAGCCTGCTTCTCCCTCTCCCTCTGCCACTCCCCCTGCTTGTGCTCTCTCTCTCTCATATAAATAAATAATATTGAAAAAATAAAAAAACAAAAAACTCCAAACAAAAAACCAAAAAGACAACCCAATGAAAAAATAGGCAAAGGATTTGAATAGACACTTCTACAAAGAAGATACACAAATGGCCAATAAGCACACGAAAAGATGCTCAACATCATTATTCATTAGGGCAATGCAAATCAAAAATCACAGTAAGATATCATTTTACATCTACTAAGATGGCTATAATAATAAAAAATATCAAGCATTGACAATGAGATGGTGAAATTGGAACATTGTACATTGTTGGTGGGACTGTAAAATGGTACAGCTACTATATAAAACAATTTGGCAGTTCCTCAAAATGTTAAACATAGAATTAACATATACTCAGTAATTCTATCCCTAGCTATATACTAAAAGAATTAAAAACAGGGACTCAAACAGATACTCATATACTGATGTCCATAGTAGCTTTATTCACATTAGCCAAAGGTAGAAAAGACCCAAATGTCCATCAACAGATGAATAAACAAAATGTGGTATAAATACACAATGGAATATTATTCAGCCATGAACAGGAATGAAGTCCTGATACCTCTACAACATGAAATATTTGCTAAGTGAAATAAGTTGAAAACATGCTAAGTGAAATAAGCCACACACAAAAGGACAAATAATATTGTGATACCATTTAAAATATCTAGAACAGGTAAATCCATAAAGACAAAGTAGATTCCATTTAAAATACCTAGAACAGGTAAATCCATAGAGACAAAGTAGATTAGAGATTACCAAGGACTGGAGGGGAAAAGTGAATGGGGATTTACTGCTTAACAGGTACAAAGTTTCTGTTTGGGATGATGAAAAAATTTTGGAAATGAACTAATGGTTACACAATATTGTGAAAGCAATTAATGCTACCTAACTGTACACTTAAAAATGGTTAAAGTGAAATATAGAAAAAAAGGTTTACTCTTTTCTACAGTAACCAACCCCAAAGCACAGAACCTCTGTGAAAAAAATGTGTCTGTCAATCCCTCACACACAAAGTGAAAACAACTTCTGTAAGAGGAAGAATCTTGGGATAAAACTTAGTAGAATTATGGATATGCAGTCAAGAGTTCAAGTTATCCCATGTGCCAAGCACAGTGCCTATCACATAGTAAGTTTCAATAAACATTTGTCCAGAGAAAGTAGAAGGGAGGGAGTTGGGACAGGAGGGCTGGAAAAAAAAAGGGAGGAGGGGAGGAAGGTTGGCTTGGAAGCAAATTATTACTATGACTATAAGAGATTAAAATAATGAAATAACCCAGTCAGTTTTAGCTGTCATGTATGTGTAGAACCTGAGTTACTAAGTAACCTGGATTTTGACGCAGGGAAAAAATATATATTAAAAATTATTTTCCACAGTTTTCTCACACACTATTAATAACGATGAAAAACATAATGGAAAAAAATCTCATTTATAACAGCAATAACATAGATGAAATTACCTAGAAATAAACTTAATAAGAAATGTTTATCATCTATAAAGTTTAAAACTCTTATTTATTTTTTAAAGATTTTATTTATTTATTTGACAGAGAGAGAGAGAGAGAGAGAGAGAGAGAGAGAGACAGTGAGAGAGGGAACACAAGCAGGGGGAGAGGGAGAAGCAGGCCTCCCAATGAACAGGGAGGCTGATGCGGGGCTCAATCCCAGGACCCTGGGATCATTAACCGATCCGAAGGCAGACACTTAACAACTGAGCCACCCAGGCGTCCCAAGTTTAATACTCTTTAAAAAGATGGACATAAGAAAGACCTGAATAAACAGAAAAATATTCTTGCTATTAGAAAGGAAAGACTCAACAATGTAAGGATTTTGCTTCTCCCTACATTAAACTTAATAGGATTGCAAATTAAAAATAAAAAAAAATCAAAAAAACTTTTTTGAACTTGAGTTTATCTAGAAGAACAAACATTAGAGAAAACTTAGTAAAACTCCTAAAGAGTAACAAGCAGGGACCTAGTCACACCATATATTAATTATAACATTTATTATAACAGTACTCTAATGGCTCAGGGACAAAAAAAAGGCCCAAAAGCCAGCCAAGAATATATGATACTTTAATATGATAAAAGAGAAATTTTAAATCATTAATGAAAAGACAACTTAAACTGGCAGGTGGATAATTCGCTTAACTCATCTGAGAAAGCAAAGCTGGATTCCTCCCTCATGTGTTATACCAAGTTAGATTCAAAAGTTTCTATTTAAAAAAGAAAAAATCCAAAAAATATTAGAGAAACAATGGATAAACTGCTTTATAATCTTAGAGTAGGGAGGGCCTTTTTGTAAGACATAAAACAAAAACTCGTATTTGTAATATATGATAAAATAAGGGCTGATTCAGGGTGCCTGGGTGGCTCGGTCAGTTGTCTGCCTTCAGCTCAGGTCATGATCGCAGGGTCATGGGTTCGAGCCCAGCATTGGGCTTCCTGCTCAGCGGGGAGCCTGCTTCTCCCTCTCCCTTTCCCCTTACTTGTGCTCTCTCTCTCTCTGTCAAATAAAGAAATAAAATCTCAAAAAAAAAAGGGCTGATTCTTTTAGATATAAAGTATATACTTTTCTTAGAATTAAAAATCAGTTTTCATTGTCAAATTAAAAAATAGTTTAAAAAATACAGTAAGAAATCCACAGACAATAACAAGTGTTGATAAGGATGTAGAGAAATTGGAACCTATGTGCACTGCTGGTGGAAATGCAAAATGGAGTAGCCACTATGGAAAACAGGTATGTACACAGCCTTAAAAAGGAACTTGGTTTTAGAAAAGTAATTTTATGCACGCACACACACAAAAATCTAGATAAGTATTATCTCTGTAGTGAGGGGTACCTTCTTTGTCACCTTCTTCATGTTTTTGTTATGTTTGTATTATTTTAAACAGTAGAAGCTAACATTTATTGAGAATTTCTAGAAGTCAACCTGATGATGCACTTTATTTGTACTTAACCTTACATTTAATTTTTATAACCACTATAAAAGTAAGTACTGTTAACTTCACTATAAGATAAGGAAACAGCCACAGAAAGTGATGGAACCAGAATTCATGTGCATATAACTATTTTTTAAAATAGCTTTATTGAGAGGCACCTGGGGGCTCAGTTGGTTAAGCGTCTGCCTTTGGCTCAGGTCATGATCTTGGGGTCCTGGGATTGAGCCCCATACTGGGCTGCCTGATCAGCGCGGAGTCTGCTTCTCCCTCTCCCTCTGCTCCTCCCCACTGTTCATGCTTGCTCTCTCGCTTGCTCTCTCTCAAGCAAATAAATAAAATCTTAAAAAGAAAAAAGCTTTATTAAGGTATAATTTACATACCATAAAATGTACTTGTTTTAAGCATACAATTCAGTAATTTTTAGTAAATTTAGAACTGTGTGACCATTGCCACACTCTAATCTTAAAACATTGCCATTGTCCCCAAAAGAAATCTCATGCCCATTTGCAGTCATTATTCTCACAGTCAGCCTCAGGCAACTACCATTCTATCTTCTGTCTCTGGATTTGCCTTTTCCAAACCCTTCATACAAATAGAAGCATACTGTATATGGGGGGGGGGGTTCCTGTCTGTTTTCTTTCACTTAGAATATTTTTGAGTTCACCCATTTTGTACCATTTCCTTTTTATTGTCAAGTAGTATTCCATCATATAGATACATCATACTTTGTTTATTACCAGTTGTTAGAGATCTGGGTTGTTTTATTTTGGGCTACTGTGAATAACGCTGCTATGAATATTCATGTACTAGTTTGTATACAGACATATGTTTTCATTTCTCTTGAGTAGATCCCTAGGAGTAGAACTGCTGGGTCATAATAGTGCATTTAACTTTTTAAGAACCTGCCAAACTGTTTTCCAAAGCAGTTGCATCATTTTACATTCCCATCAGCAATGAGTGTTTTTCCACATCCTCACCAACACTACTGCCTACCATTTTTATAAGCCAAAATGTAAAGGTAAATATTTTTAAGAGCCTGAGAACACTTACACCTATCATTTTTTGCCATGCTGTACTTCCTAAATGTAAACTCTGCCACCTCTTAAACATCCATCCACTCCACGACATAAAGACTGAATAAAATCTGAATGTGTTCAATACATACAGAAAACTATACATTTACATGAACTGCTCTTATATAAAATTCTACTTCAAATCTTAAAAAAAAGATTATATATGGAACACACAGTACATACATAATACCACTTAGAAACAGCATACATACCTAATTTTAGTTCAATTGCTGTGTTGGTGTTACATTTGTACTCTGCCAGTTTCTTCTCCACTGCACTCTTGTACTCAACCAAAAATTTCTCCATAGCACCAAATCCTAAGGGAAAGTTTTTAAAAGGTCTTGTTGGAAATGGTTTAAATAGTCAAACCTACAGAGGGTTCTTATTAGAAGTGGAATACAAGGAAGATTTAAAACATGCCAATAGGGGTGCCTGGGTGGCTCAGTTGGTTAAGCGACTGCCTTCGCCTCAGGTCATGGTTCTAGGGTCCTGGGATCAAGCCCCGCATCGGGCTCCCCACTTGGTGAGAAGCCTGCTTCTCCCTCTCCCACTCCCCCTGCTTGTGTTCCCTCTCTTGCTGTCTCTCTCTGTCAAATAAATAAATAAAACCACTAATAGATCTTAAAAGTGCAGGTCATTCTCCATATAATCCTAAAATAAATACACTGAGTATGACTGCCTCATTATAAAACAGGAAAAACATCATTTTTGTCAGAGGCTTATGAACTAGGCTTGCTTTACATAAATTAGTAAATCTGAAAATTAACATAACTACTGACATTTCTTTATATTTAATACTAATAAATATTACCTGCTAGGATTTATACCTAAGCAGTTTTTTAAAATATAAAAAAGGTGCCACTGCTCCACCAAGACACAAGGTGAGAATATTCTTTGATAATTACAATAGCATTTCATCTCTAATACTGGAAAAATTCTAGCCAGAGTACTTCAGATCAACTATTAAAAAACCATCAACTGATAATGCACAGATTATCTCAGGAAGGACACACAAGAAACTGGTAATCGTGGTTATCTCTTAGAGAGAAGGAGTGCGAACAGGGTAAGGAAAAAATTTTCACTGTATTAAAAAAGTTTTTTTAACCATATGTGTACAAAGTCATAAACTATGGGCTACAAATTAAAAATGGAAGCAATCCAGATAAACTTTCAAGCAAAGATGACAATAAATCTCCTGACAAAATGAACATAAAAATCATAAAAATTCAGGAAAAAAGAAGTCACGAGCAGAAACAAAAGAAAGGTACAACAGCATGCCATACACTTTAACAAGTGGTTAAAACACACATACACAGAAAATAGGGAACATTTGAGGCAGTATAGATTGTCTGTTGTCAGAATTCCTGGAATGAAATCCAGGCTTCACCACTTACTTACCAGGTCTGTGAACTAGAACTAGAGCACATTACTTGACTACTCTGACCCTAATCTATAAAACTGAGTTAAAAGAACCCATTTCAAGGAATTATATATACTGTCAGCAACAAAATTTAACTTATGAAATCATACATTGGCTTAATCCCCACAAATCTATTAGACAAGTAAATAGTATATCAGCCCCATTTCATATCAAAACGCTCAGGCTTAGAAAGAGGCTTAATTGCTTAAGTGCACCCAAATATTGAGTGGTGAGGCAGAGATTCAGATTTAGGTGTAATTCTTACTATATGTACACCGTACACATACGTATGTTCCCCCTCTTTTATAGTACCAGTGTACCCCCAAGATCCCAGAGTCACTATCTGGTAGAAGAATCCTTCCTTAAATATCTGTAGAGCTCACGTGATAGCCTGTCTATCCAGCATATCCATAAAAGTATAGTTAAGACTACAACGAAGGCACTGGGAAAAGATAAAAGTAGAAATTGTCCATCACTTCAAAAGATACGTAACTGGAAAAAAGTATATACTCACACCAAAAACAGTCTTAATACACGTACAAAATAGCAATTATTAGTTAGTAAATGCTGCAAACTGAAGAGACCCCAAAAAATAGAATGAACATGAAAATTATTGTATAAAATACTATGAGAAGTTTAGATGAAGGAAGAATGCGAGAACAATCTTTCTCAAAGGAATTCTAAATCGATCCTAGGAATATTAAAGCGCGAGAGATTAAAAAGAAGTCAAGGTTCAAGTGAGAGCCCTAGTGCAAGGCAAGGCAGCAATGCGCCAGCTCAGAAGTTGACTGTAGTGGAAGGTGGAGGGAGACCTGGAAGAGGAGGACGATCTGAACATTAAAAATCAGCTGGCGGGAACAGAACCAAACTACTGCGGCCGAGGCAGCAGTGCAAAAAAAGAACGAGAAGATAAACAGGCCTCAAGGCATCTGGTACCTAAGAAGCCAAATCGCGACTCTTTCCCCGGGCTTCTTCGGCCCTCCGCAGGGGCCGAGTTCTTCGCAGAAGGCACAGAACCCCGAGTAGTTGGGGGCGGGGGCACGAACCTCGGCCAACAGGGAGCTGGGCGGAGAGTTCCGTGCTTGCAGGCTGAAGCAAGCCTTCTGGAATCCAGGCCGGAGCCGGAAAGTTCCAGGCGGGCACTGTCACCACGGTCGCGGCGTTCTTTTCCAAACCTACCCGCCCCCTCCCCTTGGTAAACTTTTCCCGGGAACTTACCCGCCATTTCCGAGCTGCGAGCACCCGCGGCTGAGGAAGGACGAATCAACCCGCGCGCTCCCTGGCCGGAAGTGAGCTCATTCTCTGACGCATTTCCCCCGCCCACCTCTGGCAGGTCTCTAGCCAATGAGAAGAGGAGATTCGAGGCGCCGGGAGGTGGAAGCACCTCCAGGGGCGGGGCTGACACCGCGGGGAATGCTCCGACCGTTGCCTAGCCACGGCGACTGCAGTCAGCCACTTTGCAGGCCCGAAGCCGGGGAGGAGGCCGCGTAAGAGGCCGTCTATGTTAAGATGCTCGCTGGCTCACCCGTGGAGAGTTTCTTTGGGATTGGATTTGGAATGATATAAATACCGTAAAGCTGTTTTCTATTACGCTAGCGATGTTTCGGAGACTGGTAGAAAAACTTTCCCCTTGACCTGCACAAACACCTGAGGCCTAAGTTTATGTCGGTAAAATGTAGGGGTTGAGTTGCAGTTGCAGGAAAAATTTACACTTATTTTGTTTCTACTTTTGCAGTAAATTCTTATTTTTTCTTTTGTCATGTTTTTAATCAGTATACAGTGTAATATTTAGGTACTCTGCTTTCACTCTTAGGATTACTAGGCAACCATTGGTGCGCGGAAATTGTTACCTAATAATACCTCAAAGTGGCCTGATCTGTCCTACATGTCTCAAGTCCTAGTGGCCTGAACCACATCACAGGATGCTTCCTGATTTGGGTCTTAGGGCTTGTTAGTACTTAAGAGCTGTTGAAACTTTTGTCCCAGAAGTTAAGGCATTATTTAGGTATCCATAAATATTCTCACAACATTGTCTAGACCCTAAAATGCCTCGTCTCAGCAAATGTTGGTTAATAGGCTTTACAGTGTTATTGCTAGAGCTAAAATGGACCCTTGGAATGAGAGTCTAGAACTAACACTTCCCCTCATTTTAGAAATAAGGACATTAAAGCCCAGAAAAGAGAAATTGTCCAAGGTCACACTCAGTATACAGCCCATGTAAGAGTTCATTTCTCCAGACACTCAGCCCAGTATTTGTTCAACTGCATGGAGATGGCCCTCTCGAAGATAAACATCAGAAAAGGTACCGAGAATGCTCAGATCTTTCTTTACACCTTAATGAAGCACAAGTAATTACCATCCTAATGTTAAGAAGAAAACTGAAATCTGCTATTAATGACATTATGTATCAAAAAATGAAAACGATCTTTTTTTTAGTAATCGTTTTTGCCAAAATGGCAAGACTCGTTTCTTTACAAAACCATCTTATTTGTAGGTTGGCCAATAGCTGACAAGCAATTATCCTTATAATAAGAAAGTAAGCAAATCTGAAATAGATTAGTCGTGTGACTTTATGGTCAAGTTGTAGGGAAGAAGTGTAATGAAACCTATATATGATAAATATAAATAAGAAATAAAATGAATATGAAGAAGTACAATTAAACATATATTGTGTGACTAGCATTTAGTATGATCTGCTTACAGAATTGAGGTTATAGGTTTTTTTTTTAAGATTTTATTTATTAATTTATTTTGAGAGAGAGAGAGTGCAAGCAGGGGGAGGAGCAGAGGAAGAGGGACAAGCAGACTCCATGCTAAGCATGGAGCCCAATGGGGGGCTTGAACTGATGACCCTGAGATCATGACCTGAGCCAAGATCGAGAGTTCAATGCTTAACTGACAGCCACCCAGGCACCCTGAGGTTATAGTTTTATATTGTCCTTAGAATTGTTCATACAGCGGCGCCTGAGTGGCTCAGTCAGTTGGGCGTCTGCCTTCGCTCTGGTCATGATCCTGGAGTTCTGGGATTGAGCCCTCCATCGGGCTCCCTGCTCCGCGGGGAACCTGCTTCGCCCTCTACCTCTGCCTGCTTGTCCCTCTGCTTGTGTTCTCTCTCTCTCTCTGTCAAATAAATAAATAAAATCTTTAGAATTGTTCACACAAATTTTTTACAATGCCACGGAATATGTGTTTAGGTACAGTCATTCTGAAAGAATGACTTCTTTCAGAAAGGTAATAGTAAATTACCAAAAAGGAAAAAGCCATTTTCTTTTTTTGCAGGGTTTCCCCCTCTTTTTAAATTTTATTTTACCTTGTTCTAAAGGGGATTTAGGAGGTAAATGTTAACCACCATGGAATAAAATTTCTGTAAAAGGGATATGCTGTCCTTATACACATGGAAGAGGCAGTAAAGGGCTGTGGAAAGTTCAATGCCCTGCTAGCCTCAGTTCTACTACTTCATGATCATGTAATGTTTCATCTATTAAGTGAAAATAAAACTATCCTTCCAGTCACCACACCTGGGTTGTGAAAATCAAATGGAACAATATTTATGAAAGAGGTTTCTAAACTCTAAAATTATATGTTAATATGAAGTGATAGTAGTATGATAATTTTTATTCTAAAAAAGGATGTTTGGAAAAGGCATTTTTCTCCAAGGAAAAAGCCATATTTCACTATTAGGAATTAACTAGCAACCGTGTGTTTGATAGGGTTCAAGTGCATACGGACTAGTAAATTTTGGCATCCTGTGTGGAAACCTCCAGAAGAGATTTTTTTTTTTTTTAAAAACATGGTATTAAAGAAATGGACATCAGACAATGCGTATAGAAAATCTGAGATCTAAAAGAAAAATGCAGATACTTAATGTATCTTTATTTCAAAATATATACCTTTCTACAGGTAAGTAACAATAGCTAGTTAACTCATTTGTTTAGTTCATAGCAGTAATGTGGTGGGGGGGAGGCAATGAGTTTTAATTCCCAGACCAATTACCCAGAATGCCCTACCCACCTACTTGATTTTCATGAGTTAAAATAAAGTAAAAATAGATCAGTTCTTATAGAAAAATATTAGAATAACTTAAAGACACACATTGCTAACAATTTGCACATTCCATTTTGTAACTCTCATACACTACCATAGAAATACAAACTAGTACTTTTTGAGAAGTAATTTAGGAATTTTAACAAATTTAATGCATTTTTTAATTTGTATGCTTTTTAAATTTATATATCTTTTGAGGTAGCAGTTCCACTTACAAGCATTTGTCCTACAAAACTCTTTGCATAAGAATACAAAGATATATGAACAAAGATGTTCAATGCAGCACTAATTTTACTGAAAAATTGGAAATAGCCTAAACATTCATCAAAAGAGGTTGGTTAATATGTACTGACTTGGGAGAATATCTACTATATAATAGGTTAAAAAATAAATTATACAGGGCGCCTGGGTGGCTCAGTCGTTAAGCGTCTGCCTTCGGCTCAGGTCATGATCCCAGGGTCCTGGGATCGAGTCCCACATCAGGCTCCCTGCTCAGCAGGAGACCTGCTTCTCCCTCTCCCACTCCCCCTGCTTGTGTTCCTGCTCTCATTGTGTCTCTCTCTGTCAAATAAATAAATAAAATCTTTAAAAAATAAATAAATAAATTATACAATATTATAATGTTAGGTTATTCATATAAAGAAGGGTGTTTTGATATAAACATAGAAAACATCTAAAAGCATACCTAAGAAGTTTAACAGTGACTGACTGCCTCTAGAAAGGAGAGTTTGGAGGAGAGAATTAATGAAGGATTAAAAAAAAAATACTGTTTGCTACTTTTAATGAGGCTATGTTGTTTTCTTTCATAATTAGAAACTTAGCATCTTTTTGGAGATTTTTGGACACATTTGCTAACTTCTTACCCTCTTCTTTACATTCTATGAATCAAAGAGAAACAGCTTAATTGAAACAAGGAAGAGTTGAAAATTAATATTTCTCCTTTTTCATTATGTCATTATTTTCAGGCAAAGATTGGTCAAAATGAGGGAAGAGCACTATAATTGCTTATACTTGTTTACAAATGACCATCCAGTGATGCATACTTCACTTTTTGAAACTATAATTTGTAAGAATGGCATTAATTATGTGTGCCTACCTAGGGTAATACAATATTGCCTAAGATATTTCACATTCCATAGTGAAAAGGCTGTTTCAAATATTTTTTTCAATGATAGCCAACAAAAAAATGAGCATTATTCTTCTGTCTTAAATTTTTTTGTTGTTTCTTAATATGGAAAGCTTCAGGGTACAGGGAGGGTGAAGAAAACTTTACCAAAGATACTTAGATATTAAAGAAATAAGACTGAAAAGTGATAAAAATTATGACTAAAAATATTCATTTTAAACTGATACATTATTTCAGTCATTGTCTTTTTTTTGACTGGCATAAAACACATAAAATTGACCATCTTAATCATTTTTTTAAGACTTTATTTATTTATTTATTTGAGAGAGCACAAGCAGGGGGAGGGTGGGCAGAGAGAGAGGAAGGAGCAGGTTCCCCACTGAGCAGGGAGCCCAGTTTGGGCTCAGTCCCAGGACCCTGGGATCATGACCTGAGCTGAAGGCAGACGCTTAACCGACTGAGCCACCCAAGTGCCACCACCATCTTAATCATTTTTAAACACACAGTTTAGTAGTGTAAAGTATATTCACATTATTTTGGAAGCTGTCATTTTAATGGACTGGTTTTCAGCCAACTTCTTTGTGATCTATTTACTAATATTACTATGCATAGCAAGGCTTTTTTTTTGCTAAGATTTTATTTATTTATTTGACAGAGAGAAACACAGAGAGAGAGGGAACACAAGCAGGGGGAGTGGGAGAGGGAGAAGCAGGCCTCCCATAGAGCAGGGAGCCCGATGCGGGGTTCGATCCCAGGACCCTGGGATCATGACCTGAGCCGAAGGCAGACGCTCAATGACTGAGCCACTCAGGCACCCGGTGCATAGCAAGACTTTTAACTTCTATCATATAGACACAAAAAGTGAGTAGCTTTATACCAGCTATATAATGCCATTAGTTAAATGTTTAGTTCATAAACCCATCCCTTAAGAGAATTGTAAAATAAAATAGTTTAGCTTTATGATAGTGTTTCTTATAAATTTTTTTATAAATCAGAATTTTGAGGATATATATATATGTATATATATATATATATATACACATATATATGGTTATCAGCAAACCAAACCAACCAGTCACTGTGCAAATTAGTAAAGTTTAAAGAATTCTGAAAGTTTTGCTAGAGGGAATCCAGACTTTAAGTTTGTTGTTAATTTCATCAACACAGGGCTCTCAGAGAATCCTTTTGCCTGTCTCTTGAATGAGCTAAGAGGAAGAAAGGGTCATGCCAACTGGCATCATATAACACAGAGAGAACCTGCTTCATCAGGTAAGAAGGGTGTGTTGGCAGGGTTAGGATGCATTTAAATAATGAAAGGTTTACTTTTTCACATCTTTGTAAAATTACATTTTGTTGTATATGAGGAAGTTTATGTTATTATA